AGACTTAAAAAAATTAGCTGTTTAAAAATTTAAATACTAGGCCAGATGCAGTGGCTCACACCTGCAATCCTAGCACTTTGGGAGGCTGAAAGAGCAGGATCACATGAGCCTTGGAGTTTGAGGCTGCAGTCAGTTATGATCCTACCATTGCACTCCAGCCTCAGTGACAGAGACCCTGTCTCAAAAAAATTATGATGCATAAGTAATTTTAAACAATTTGTCTTAGTTCATGTTATGAGGGCATTTTTTTGGGGGGCCCATAAAGTCCTACAATCTGGTCCTTTATCATTTACATCTCTAATGAAGGTATTAAAATATCTAGTGGGCCGGGCGTGGTGGCTCACGCCTGTAATCCCAGCACTTTGGGAGGCCGAGGTGGTCGGATCACGAGGTCAAGAGATCGAGACCATCCTGGCCAACATGGTGAAACCCCGTCTCTACTAAAAATACAAAAAAATTAGCTGGGCGTGGTGGCGCGCGCCTGTGGTCCCAGCTACTCGGGAGGCTGAGGCAGGAGAATTGCTTGAACCCAGGAGGCGGAGGCTGCAGTGAGCCGAGGTTGCGCCACTGCACTCCAGCCTGGCACCTGGTGACAGAGTGAGATTCTGTCTCAAAAAAAAAAAAAAATCTAGTAATTAAAAAAAATTGACTTATATGCAACGAATATGACTGGAAGTAAAATTTTTCATATGTAAATGAAAATTTCTCATGATTTAGTCTTTGAGCCATTGAAGGTTTGATAGATAATAGGTGTCATTTAAACTTCTCTCAAACATTACTAGATTTTGAAAAATGAATGAAAATATTGAACATATTTTAGATAGATTTATTTGTATATGGTTGGGTTTTGTTTATAGTCCTGAACTTTGAGCAAATCTGAATAAATTGAGAAAAAAATGGAGAATTTATTTCCGTTTGTGTTTTCTTTCTTTTTTCTTCTTTTTGAGATGGAGTTTTGCTCTGTTGCCCAGGCTGGAGTGCAGTGGCGCAATCTTGGCTCGCTGCAACCTCTACCTCCCAGGTTCAAGGAATTTTCCTGCCTCAGGCTCCTGGGTAGCTGTGACTACAGGCACACACCACCATGCCGGGCTAATTTTTGTATTTTTAGTAGAGACGGGTTTTCACCATGTTGGCTAGGCTGGTCTTGAACTCTTGACCTCAAGTGATTTACCCACCTCTGCCTCCCAAGGTGCAGTATTACAGGTGTCAGCCACCGTGCCGTCTCTCCCTCCCTCCCTTCCTTCCTTCCTTCTGTTCCTCCCTCCCTCCCTCCTCCCTCCCTCCTTCGTTCCTTCTGTTCTTTCTTTTATTTCTTTCTCTTTCTTTCCCTCTCTCCCTCCTGTCCTTCCTTCTGACAGGTCTCACTATGTTGCCCAGGCTGGAGTGAGTGGCTACTCACAAGTGCTTTCACAGTGCACTGCAGCCTTGAACTCCTGGCCTCAAGTGATCCCGCCTCAGCCTCCTGAATAGCTGGAACTACAGGTATATACCACCATACCTGACTTCTTTTTCCATTTGACTTATATGTATTTAGGCCATCAAGCTGTTCTAGCTTTTTTTTCAATCAGCTATGCATATAGGTTTCTCACTTTTATCAGATATTCCATTATTAACATTCTATTTTGTTCTCCTGTACACTTTGGTAATAACAGCTTCACTGCTTTTATCAGTTTTTAATTTCTTAGACATAAATAGTGATACAGTTTGTGTGTGTCGCCACCCAGATCTTATCTTGAGTTTTCATAATCCCCACGTGTGGTGGGAGGGACCAAGTGGAGAGAATTGAATCATGGAGGTGGTTTCACCCATCCTGTTCTCATGATAGTGAGTTAGTTCTCACAGGATCTGAAGGTTTTATAAGGGGCTTCCCCCTTAGCTGGGCACTCATACTTCTCCTTGCTGCCGCCATGTGAAGAAGGATGTGTTTGCTTCTCCTTCTGCCATAATTGTAAGTTTCCTGAGGCCTCCCCAACCATGCTGAACTGTGAGTCAATTAAACCTCTTTCCTCTTTTTTTTTTTTTTTTTGGAGACAGAGTCTCACTCTGTTGCCCAGGCTGGGGTTCAGTGTCACAGTCATAGGTCACTACAGCCTTAAACTCCTGGGCTCAAGATATTTTCCCACCTCAACCTCCCGAGTAGCTGGGACTATAGGCATGCATCACTACACCTGGCTAATTTTTTGCATTTTTGGTAGAGATGGGGTTTTACCATGCTGGCCAGGCTGGTCTTGAACTCCTGGTCTCAAGTGATCCACCCACCTCGGCCCCCTAAAGTGCTGATATTATAGGTGTGAGCCTGGCCAAACCTCTTTCCTTTATAAATTACGCAGTGTCAGGGATGTTTATATTAGCTGCGTGAGAATGGACTAATATAAACAGTTTTTAGGCCATGTTACATATATGATGTTAGCATGTGTCCCTCTAGACTCTAATTTGGTAGCTTAGTATTTTCCAACATTTAAGAACATTTAGATCAAATAGCACACCTCCTATAAATAGTTAGATCCCTCCAAAGTTGGATCACCAATTTTTCTCCCATGATTCTTTTTTTTTGAGATGGAGTCTTGCTCTGTCCCCCAGGCTGGAGTGCATGGGTGCGATCTCAACTCACTATAACCTTTGTCTGCCGGGTTCAAGCAGTTCTTCTGCCTCAGCCTCCCAAGTAGGTGGGACTACAGGCGCGTGCCACCACACCTGGCTAATTTTTGTATTTTTAGTAGAGATGGGGTTTCACCATATTGGCCAGGCTGGCCTCAAACTCCTGACCTCGTCATCTGCCTACCTCAGACTCCCAAAGTGCTGGGATTACAGGTGTGAGCCATCGCACCTGGCCAATTCTTAATGCTACCTCCATTTATAACACATTTTATAATGCTCTTTTTCAGTAAACAGTGAACTACTCCAAAGCAACAAAACTGTTTTTCACTGTTAAAACTATGTGTGCAGCCCAACATGTATTAGGTACTCAATAATATCTGCTGAATAAGGACGGATTTTTCGCAGTAGATATATTACATCCTAATGAAATTACATCAGCAAATATTGTTACTATATTTTAATATTTGGATATTTTAATTTAATATAAAAGTAAATCAAATGAAGAGTGTAGAAATTCTTTATCCAGCATATCTCAAGAATTAGACTATAGAGGAATTCTTTCCAAAATCAAATTTGAAATTAATTTCATAACACATAATTATGATCTAAATTGCCCATTTTAAGCTTAAATGGGGTGTGTGTGTGTGTGTGTGTGTGTGTGTGAGAGAGAGAGAGAGAGAGAGAGCGCTGAACATGTAGCCTCCTTCCAACAATATGGTCCCATGATCACTTTTAAGGAAATGTTCAAGTAATTGACCCTGTTGGCTAATTTTTCTCAGGAGCAACAGCTCATATCACTAATGATCAAAACAAAATTGTCATTTTTGACAGATGTCCCCAAACATTTAGACAGACTGTTAGATTAATGCTTTTAGGGACCTAAAAGGGCATATTTTACAGTCTGCTGTAGAAATAAGAGTAGCTGTGACAATTTGGCTATGGGGTAACTTCTTTCCTCCTTTGTGAAATGGGAGCATAATACCAGCCTCACAAGTATGTTTTTGCTTTTTATATATATGAAATGTTTATTTTAGCTTTATTTGTACTTTCAAAAACTTAAACCAAACTAAAGGTCCACCTGGAAAGAAATAGTTGAATGACATTGGTACATTCCTGCAATGAAACTATCCCATCTATTAAAAACAAATGGCTGTGTTAGTTGAACTGGATGTGTGTCCATCGTATAGTAGTGAGAAAAACATATCGCAGGATAAATAATTGCACTTATGTAAAAAAAAAAAAAAAAAAAAAAAAAAAAAGCAACAAGCTGTAATTCCCAATTTTTGTTTACATAGCATTTTGTTTATGCTTAGAAGGAGGGGAGGAATAACTTTTTCATACCTTTTTGATAGCGCCACTTGAGCACGTATGCTGTATTTTCCCACCTCACAGTTTTAGTAGCCAAGGTCTACTTTTTTAAATTGACAAATAAAACTTTTATATATTTGTGGTGTATGATATGGTGTTTTGATACACATACATGTTATGAAATGGTGGTCAACTTTTTTTCTTAATGATGGTTTGCACAGATTTCTGAAGCTCCAACAGAGTTCCACAATTTAAACACATCCGTTGCTGCAATTTGAGAAATGTCATAACCCTCAATGAAATGCTCCTTCTTAGTAAAGTGAGATATTCCTTTCAGTGGGCAACAATACAAACTCTTTTTTTTTTTTTTTTTTTTTTTTTTGCTGCTCACTAGTATCCAGGGCACATAAATGACTCTTTCGTTGACAGCATAGAAATCCTGAATTTCTTATTGTCACTAGTGAACTAAATTATGACATAAGATACAGGCTTATGCCTGTAATCCCAGCACTTTCAGAGGCTGAGGCAGGCAGATCACTGAGTCAGGAGTTCGAGACCAGCCTGGCCAACAAGGTGAAACTCCATTTCTACTAAAAATACAAAAATTAGCCAGATGTGGTGGCATGCACCTGTAATCCCACCTACTCAGGAGGCTGAGGTGGGAGAATTGTTTGAACCCAGGAGATGGAGATTTCAGTGAGCCAAGATTGTGCCACTGCACTCCAGGCTGGGTAACAGAGCAAGACTCCATCTCAAAAAAAAAAAGAAAAAAAACAAGGCTCAACTGATACAGGTAAAAGTCAGGGAGAATCGTATAAGGAACCTGACAACCATTAAGCCCTGTGGCTTCACTAAACTTATTCAGCCTTCAAATTTGAATTCTAGAAATCTATACAACTAGACAGTACTATTTGGCCACCTGTAAAAATAATATATTCATTTGTTTGTTTTTGATGGTTAATACAAGAAAATACCTTAGGGAGGAGTAATTCTGTGATTTGATATTACCAAGAATGCTGCCCATTATATTATTTAATGTTTCTCTTATAATGTAGAGAAACCATAGGGATGGAAAACCGTTAAGACTATTTTGTTTATCTACGAAATTTCCTGAACAGAAGGGAGATACATTTGAGAGACATTATACAAGGAGAATTGACAGACTGTGACAGTGAACGTTCCTGAGGTCTACTGTGTGCAGAAGTAGATTGACATCTTAAGGGTTTCTAGATCAAGTTACCTTTGATAAAAATAGAGAAGGAAACAGGAGAAGGTAATTTGAGTGTGGGGTATAGATGAGAGTTCATGTTGGGATATACCAACTTTGGTGGGATGTGATATTGGAAAGAGGACTCAGAAATTCCTATGCACCCATCCATTTTCTCTGAAATTCAAACTATTACCAATCAAATTCAAACTGTTAGAAATCAAGCTGTTGGCTGGGCGCGGTGGCTCAAGCCTGTAATCCCAGCACTTTGGGAGGCCGAGGCGGGTGGATCACGAGGTCAGGAGATCGAGACCATCCTGGTCAACATGGTGAAACCCCGTCTCTACTAAAACTACAAAAAAAACATTAGCTGGGCATGGTGGCGCGTGCCTGTAATCCCAGCTACTGAGGAGGTTGAGGCAGGAGAATTGCCTGAACCCAGGGGGCGGAGGTTGCAGTGAGCCAAGATCGCGCCATTGCACTCCAGCCTGGGTAACAAGAGTGAAACTCCGTCTCAAAAAAAAAAAAAAAAAAAAAAAAAAAAAGAAATCAAGCTGTTATGAAATTCAAACTGTTAGTAATCAGTACTTATCCAGGATGGTTAATACTGGCATTAGGATACAGAAGATACTTATATGTGAAAGCATCTGGCACACAGTAGGTATGGAGTAATGTTTGCGTTTGTATCTTTAATTCCCAGAAATCATTCTGCCAAATAACCGGAATCTCATGGAATAAAACTCTCTATTATTAAGAGGACATTTTTAGGTTTATAGGACTTTTAAATTGTATGCATCATTTTCAGTAAATTTTAAGGGTATTACAATAGTAAGATTACTAGGAAGAAATGTTAAGACTAGAAATGTGAAAAATGAAAACTCACAGGTTATTTTATTTGAGATATAATACTATTCATTTTAACATCTCGGCAAGGTTATTCATTACCTCCATGCCACTACATTCAATGGATATCAATCAGTCCTCTTTTTGCTTAATTTGTTAGTCATCTTGTTTATCACTCTCTCCTTGAAACATTCCTTTTTTCCTTCAGTGTCATAATACCACATTCTCTTCCTGGCTTGTCTTTCTACTCTTGTTGTCTGCCTCCATTGCAGACTCATTCTTCTTTCCTCTTGGCCTTTAAAAAGTGCAGTTTCTCAAGGCCCTGTCCTAGGATCTTTTCTCTATTCACCCTCTACTCTCTTTGCCCAACTATCACAACTTTCCTCATTAAATTATCATCTGTATACCAACGATACCTAAATTTATGTCTCAGTCTTAGACATTTCCCTTTATATATGCAACTGACTACTCAGTATCTCTATTTGCTGTCTCACAGTTACCTTGAACTCAACATGTCTGAGACCAAAGTGATGATATTACACTTAAATCTATCTTTTTCTTCCAGTGTCCCTCATCTCAGTAAACAGCCTCACCATACATCCAATTGTGTATCTCAGGAAGCCAGATGTCATCCTTTTTCCATTCTGCATAGTCATATCCCACATCCAGTCCAACACTTGTTACTGTTGATTTTACCACCCCATGCCTTTCCCATCCATCCATTTTTATCCATCTTTACTATCACTTTATTCAGGTGGTGTCATCTCTCACCAATAGTAACCTGCTCAGTGTCTTCTTTAAATCCGTTATGGCTCCCCTCCATTTTGTTCTCCATTAGAACCAGAATAGTCTTTTTTTTTTTTGACAGAGTCTTGCTCTGTTACCCAGGCTGGAGTGCAGTGGCGTGATCTCAGCTCACTGCAACCTCTGCCTCCTGGGTCCAAGTGATTCTCCTGTCTCAGCCTCCCAAGCAGCTGGGATTACAGGTGCCTGCCATCATGCCCTGCTAATTTTTGTATTTTTTGTAGAGATGGGGTTTTGTCACGTTGGCCAGGCTGGTCTTGAACTCCTGACCTCAGGTGATCTGCTCACTTCGGCCTCCCAAAGTGTTGGGACTATAGGCATGAGGCATGACGCCTGGCCCAGAATATTCTCTTAAACATGCAAATCTTTTCATGTCAACCCTGCTGAAAATCCTTTTCAATCAATAAGTCCTAATAGATCCTCTCTATATAAGCTCTTCTACTTAGCATAGCCCTTTTTCAGAGACACCAGCTTCTGTTACTTGCATATCTGTTTCTTTTGGTTTCCATCTCTGCCCAGAATTAGGGAAGTTCATGCAGATGCCAAAAGATTGGCACTAATTCTCTAACCTTTCTCACTCCATGCAAAGTGAGTTGTAGGAAATTTTATTATTGTTTTTATTTTCTAAAAAAAAGTTTTATTTGCCTCTATTCACATTCTATAAATACAGAATATCTTACAAAAGGTATAAAAACCTAAACCATTTTATGATGATATATCAAAACTAAATTACACAGGGATGAAACAACTCCAGCATTAGTGTCAGAAGGAGCCCAGGGGCCCTTTATGTACCATGACATTTTAAAACAAATATTTAAACCTATCAGGATTGTTAGACTATATTTTTCTAGGATGGTAGAAGTGGTTTTTAGTGACTTTTAGGTCCATGTAATTTTTTTTTCTTCAAGAAAAGAAATAGTGAGGATTTGAACAAGTCTATCATTGGTTTTGTTCTGTCAAATATGGTTAAATACACTTCTCCAACTGAAAACAGTAAACATTAATCCTATTACTCTACAGAGAAGAAGATACTCTTACTGCTCTTCAGAAGGATTTTACTGTTGCTCCTTATTGCACATAAGCCCTGTCTACCTGGTGCTATTGTGAACTGATAATCAATATTTTTTTTTTGCCATGTCACTTCCAGTTCCTAGATGAAGAAGCTTATCCTGTTGGGAGTCCTCAGGCACAAAGTCCACTGCACCACTTCTGTCTGTGCGATGATTTCTGCCAGTGGTGGAGACTCTGCTGTCCCCTGGTGGCATTTGCCTTTCATTCATTCATTGTTCTGGCCCAGAAGACCTACAGTTATCCTTAGATATTTGTAAATTTTATAGCAGGCAAAACCTGAGAGTTGCTATCTCATTCTGATCTGAAATTATGACTCTTGTAGTCGAAGCAACTCTTTCTCTATGTGGTTCAGAGCAGGGATTCTTGGTTAGGAATCTCTCCCCATATGTTGCTGTCTCATCAACACCAGTGCTTCCTCTTGGAAGGAGCAGAATCATTTCATCTCCTCTTTAAGGAGTTACATGCTAACTTGTTCTTTGGAGTTCTGTCTTTGGTTTCAGGGTCTGATTCTACAGACAGGATCCTAGAATTTCCTCTAACTCTGATGTCCTTCCTAATTCCTTATCTTTTACAAAGGGGTTGGATGTGACTTCAGATTTGTCTGGGATCCTAGTAAGGACCTCAGTGATCTACAACCATGCCCATGTAAAGGAATAAAGTTAGGTGTATATGAAATACAACTTTATTTTTCTGTAACTCCTCTGAAATTCAATTTTGAATTGCCTGTTTTGAAGGTCTGGTAATATCATAATCCGTGTCTATTTCTGGTATTCCTCCTTTTTCTCCCTTGGGGTTGGGTCTAAATTCAAAAAGTCCTAATATATCAGCAAATTTGGGGGTTGGGAGCCTCTGGTTCTCAATGTGATCTGTCTACACAGGCATCCAGTGAGAAATTCATGATCTTAACTCAGTTATCAGTTCTCACGAACCTCGAATGAGTTGAGTTCCATTCCGCAAGCTCCCTTTAAATGTGGAGGCTGCCTTTTCTTTTCCATGCCAAACATGGGTGCACAGGGATATTTGTTTATTTCCACCTCAGGTTAGGGCATACAAAATCTCCTGGACCCTGTCTAGTTCCCAGTTACCTACCCACACCATGAATCATGTTCTCTTTCTGGGGCCTATTGCCTTCCTGAGACAGTTCAGGAATCAGGGAACACGTCCCTCTGCTCCTTTATCTCACAAACCCATCTACAGAAGTTTGGTGGCAAGGGCCCACCGAGAAGCATCCCAGCAACCCCACCACGACCGTTCTTCCCTGGACACCATGAACCACACTGTCCAAACCTTCTTCACTCCCGCCAGCACCCACCGTCCCCCGAACTATGAGATGCTGAAGGAGGAACATGAGGTAGCTGCGCTGGGGGCGCCCCACAACCCTGCGCCCCCGACATCCACCGTGATCCACATCCGAAGCGAGACCTCCGTGCCGGACCACGTCGTCTGGTCCCTGTTCAACACCCTCTTCATGAACTCCTGCTGCCTGGGCTTCACAGCGTTCGCCTACTCCGTCAAGTCTAGGGACAGGAAGATGGTTGGCGACCTGACCGGGGCCCAAGCCTATGCCTCCACTGCCAAGTGCCTGAACATCTGGGCCCTGATTTTGGGCATCGTCATGACCATTCTGCTGATCATCATCCCAATACTGATTCTGCAAGTCTATCAGTAGATCCAGAGGAATCACCCGGGCCAGGGGCTCCGCCCCTCACCTATCTCCCATGTACTCCAGCTTCCATTCCTTGCCCTGCCCCCAGCCAATCCTGTATCAGCCCTTTACCCTCACACACTTTTCTACAGTCGAGTTCAATAAAGTGCACATGCTCCTGGAAAAAAAAAAAAAAAAAAAAAAGAAGTTTGGTGGCTTCCCAGGTATGTGACGAGAACCATGGTAAGACTCCCTGTCCCTGGGACTGTGGAAATCTGCCTTGCCAGTGCCTCCTCTCTTACCTTCCCCTGTGCACCATCCATAATCTTGTCTTCTCCCAATGTAGAAAGTGGACTTTCTTTTCTTTTCTTTTTTTCTGAGAATGGAAAGCCATGATCTTACAAAAGATGTTTTGTCCAAATCTTTTGCTATGCCAAGAGTCTTATCTGTTTCTGTAAAGCCAAACCTTTTGCAACACCAAAGCCAGGAAGAGATTGCTTTTGTTCTCTGTGCTTTTCTTGCTGTCACTTCTTTCTTCGAAAGCAAAGAGCATAGAATGCCTAGCTGCTTGTTTGGGGTGCAGTAATGGGCAATGAAATTGAAAGAAGAAAATATTGGGAAGGAAGGGAATCTATTAATATCACTCTACCATGCTTATGAGCAACAGACAGAAATTTTAACAACAAGGTTATCAGAGGAATATTCCCCACTCCATCTGGCTGAAACTGTGTCCTCAGCCCTAAGAAACAGGGCATGCTTTTGTCTCTTCTGCTCTGTTCCTTGCTAAGCACAGACAAGATGTCAGAACCCAGAAGTCCTGTTCCACATAAGCAGACTGACAGTAGGACAAGTGTCTTCTAGGAGGTTTATCTTTTCACTAAAGATCAGTTCTGAGTGGTTTTGAAAGGTACAATTCTTTTATTTGGTTTGGTTCTAGGAATATGACAGTTTATATAAAGCTGTTGCTTTACTGTGAAAAACCTAGACACAGTGAGAGCAACATTTGAATTAATCTTTTACACCCAGAAACCTGTATAGCAGGAAGAGTCCTTTTTTTTCCTTGTAAGAATGCAAAGGAATCCTCAAAACCCCTTTGAAGCTTTAACATCCATTTTAAAATATGTTGATGTCAGTAACTACTATAATAAAGGATAAGCTACTTATGGTTAATAATAATTGCTTATACTTATTGAGTACTTACTATATGTCAGATACTAAAACATTTTTATTTAATCCTCTTCATTTAATCTTCATAATAATCTTAGGAGATACATATTATTATGCTAATTTATAAGTGAGGAAAGTGAGGCACAGAGAGGCTAAGTAACTCATCCAAAGGCACAAACTATTATGTTAGAGACTGAATGTGAACCCCAGAATTGTGATGGCAGAGAAAATGTGCTTACCTAAGTATACTCATCATGATAATGGTTGAGAAGCTGTGGCATATGAGTGGTGACAATTCTTGTAATAACACGTTAAATTTAAGCTAGTAGATCAGAAGAAAAGTGTTAACGTGAATTTATTGTGATATATGTGAGACAAAGTATAAGTGACCAATTTGCAGCCCAGACATGAAACTGGATTAATGAATGATTTTTACGCTCTTGTTTATCAAGGGACACAGAGGTTTTGTTCTGACCCATCCTGGATCTTCAGGGAATGATGAATAAATACCATGAATAAACACCAGGAATTGGAGAAAATAAAAATTAACATTTTATATTAACTTTAATGTGCTTGAATTTGCAAGGATCAGCATGGAAATCTGATAATCATTTTGAAATACACCTAAAGACACGGAAATACAATTTCTTGTTAACATTATTTTATAAAATTCTCAGAGCCATTAGTATTTTGTGTAAATCATTCATGCATTCAAGCATATTTACTGAGTACCTACTGTGTTAGGCACTGTGAGAAGAGCTGGGGATAACAGTAATGAAAAAAACAAAGGTTCTTGTCCTTGTGGAGCTAAATTTTGTTTTTTTAAACTCCTACTATCATTCCCAAGGAGCTGATTTTTAATGAGCAGGTTAAATAAAAAAGTAAACAGCATATTACAAAGTCATAAGTGCTATAGACAAATAAATTAGGGTGCCTTTTGAGTTTGTTCCTCCTATTATTTATTTTTCTATTTCAGGGATAAAATGGGCTAGGTTATACAACTGCTTCTTATTCTGAAAATTCAGTCTGAAGGAACTGGACAAAAATACAAACCAAAGTCTGACTTCCGATTTCAACGTTGAAAACCAGTTGATGTGGTTGGGCTTTGTGTCCCAACCCAAATCTCACCTTGAATTGTAATCCCCATAATCCCCATGTGTCTAGGGATCATGGAGGTGGTTTCCCCCATGCCGTTCTTGTGATAGTGAGTTCTCATGAGATCTGATAGTTTTATAAGGGGCTGTTCCCCCTTTGCTCCTCACTGTTCTATCTCATGCAGCTATGTGAGAAGGTCCAAGCGTGCTTCTCTTTCACCTTCTGCCATGATTGTTAGTTTCCTGAGGCCTCCTGAGCCATGTGGAACTGTGAGTCAATCAAACTTCTTTCCTTTATAAATTACCCAGTCTCGGGTATTCCTTCATAGCAGTGTAAAAATGGACTAATACACCAAGTGATCCAGACCCACCTGAAGTAGCAGTACTATCTGAAAAACTGGCTTCTCATGGAGAAGTAACATTCTTGTTGCCCATTTTCACTTTATATATGCAGTTCCTCCTGCTTTGAAGAGGCTCTCCACCCACTCCCTCCTTTCCTGTCTTACTTGCCACATACGCTCCTGTGACTGATCTTACTCATATTTCTGATCTTAGAAAAGGCTGCTGTGTTCAATGGCCCTGCAGTGTTTGTCATCTTCCTATTAAAATGAATAGGACTGTGCTGAATCCTATGCTGAATTTGATTGTTTTTTTCCTATTAAAACACTAATTATATTGCATTGTAGAGTTTTATTCAATTGTCTTTCTCCCCCATAAGACTGTGTAATTTGTGTAATTAAAAATAAGGCTCCAGGTGTGGTGGCTCATGCTTGCAACACTCTTGGACGCCACGGTGGGCAGACTGCTTGAGCCTAGGAGTTCAAGACCAGCCTGGGAAACATGGAGAAACCTCATCTCTATTAAAAATACAAAAATTACCTGTACATGGTGGCGTGTGCCTGTAGTATCAGCTACTCAGGTGGCTGAAGTGGGAGGATCACTTGGGCCCAGAAGGTCAAGGCTACAATGAGTTGTGATTGCACCATTGCACTCCAGCCTGGGTGATAGCACAAGACCCTGTCTCAAAAAAAAAAAAAAGGATCAAGATTATGTTTTTTCATCATTGTATCATCAGCACTCAGAATAGAGACTGGCATATAATAATAATAGTAAAAGCTAATATTTGTCATATAATTGAATCAACTTTTGTTGGGTATCTATGTGGGCATGCCTGTGCATTTATGTATCCATTTTGTTAATGAGGCAACTTAGTGATTACAAAGAAAAATTCAATCAATATAATATTCTTAGAATAAAACTTACTGATTTGTTCTAAAATTTCACCAACACCTATGGTTTTTTTTTTTTTTGCAAAAGGTATGTTGGTATTTTAATTAAACACGACTCTACTCTTATTTTATTTATTTATTTATTGTTTAAAAAATATTTTTTTTGCAGAGATGGGGTTTTGCCATGTTGTCTAGGCTGGTCTTGAACTCCTAGGCTCAAGCCTTCCACTTACCTTGGCCTCCCAAAGTGCTGGGATTAGAGGCATGAGCCACCGTGCCCTGCCAACAAATTGGTTTTTTTTTATGAGTACCTAGTTATACATGTAATTTAACTTTTACTTTTTCCGATTTCTTTTTTTCAAGACAGAGTCTGGCTCTCTTGCCAGGCTGGAGTGCAGTGGTGCAATCCCGGCTCACTGCAACTTCTGTTTTCCGTTTTCAAGCAATTCTCCTCCCTCAGCCTCCCGAGTAGCTGGGACTACAGGCACGCACCACTACGGCCGGCTAATTTTTTGTATTTTAGTAGAGACGGGGTTTCACCATGTTGGCCAGGATGGTCTCGATTTCCTGACCTCGTGATCCGCCCGCCTCAAACTCCTGAAGTGCTGGGATTACTGGCGTGAGCCACCGTGCCCGGCCAAATACAGTTTTATCGGGAATCAAAAGCTGCTCTCTTCTGGACTCTCAGCTTTAGCTGTTTGGAGCGTTTAGTCTAACCCGTATCAGTTACATTGTAATGTGAAGATCAAATTTTAACGACATGGCAATAATAAGGCTTCTATTGGCTGGGAACCACCAGTTTGTGCCAGGCATTATACTGATTCATGTCTTTAATCCTCAAAACGACCTTCCAAGGTCAGCGTTTTTATTCTTTTTCTAGACGAGCAAACTGAGTTTCAGAGAAGTCACACCCCACTTGGTGGCAGAGCTGAAGCTGGCATGGGGCTGACCCTAAAGCCCTACGCCACGATGGTAGGAAAGTCAATGAAACACAAGCGAGAAGAATAATGAGAAGCAAGGGAGAGCGGGCGAAGGGCACACGACTCACTCAGGCGCCTTGAAACTCCGCGCGGCGGAGTGGGGCGGTGCCGGAAGTCAGGTCGCGGCTTCCGGGCCTCGCGCCGGAAGTGGCCGGCCAGCGTCGCAACCAGTCTCTGGCGGGGGACCGGAGCGTTACAGTTAGAGCTGCCGGGCTGCCACGAGGTTTGCGGATCCTGCCTGCAAACGCGTCTGCAAGTCGAGATGTCGCACCCGTCCCCCCAAGCCAAGCCCTCCAACCCCAGTAACCCTCGAGTCTTCTTTGACGTGGACATCGGAGGGGAGCGAGGTGAGCGGAGTCTGACGCTCGCTGAAAGGCCGGGAGGAGGCGGGGGTTCCCGGGATTTGGGGGATTCCAAGGTTAGATTGAGGCTCCGGCCGGTGGCTGCTCAGTATCGCGGAGGCAGCCTAGGCTGCCCAGGTTGGTACGCCGGGACAGGCCCGGGCACCTAGGGCTAGATCGATTCAGCGCCCTTGTATCAGTGCCATCGGTCGTGCCGAAGTTTCTGGAAATTTCTAGTTTGGGACTCGTGGCCTTTAGGTTTGCCTTTCCTGATTTGGTTGCACCTCCACGCCACCTTTGCACCGCCGTGTTAGCATGAAATAAGATTATTTTATGTTTACAGTGAGACAGTTCGGAAGACATATACTGGGATATTTGTCTGCTGGGCCCCAGGGAACTGTGTTTGCCACATGAGATAATATATCGGCACCTGCTGTGTTATTTATACGTTAAAGGGACTTGTTTGCTCATAGCTTTTGCCTTATTACTGATTCTTAACTTAGAGGACCATTCAGGTGGGCAAACATTTTCTCTTATTTGCCGCTGGAAAAATGCGCTCAACGTAGTGATGTTGCCTAGGTTACATAGCCGCTCAGAAGTTACCTAATGCCTGGTGAATAGGGAGCGTGTTGTTTTGTAACTGGATTGGCCTTGTTCGGGAACATGTTAGAATTGCTGACCATGCAGTGTGTTTGAATGGATGTACAGGACACATACACGTTTACACGTTTATTCAGTTTGTTGCAACTAGCTATGGCTAGGTTTGTTCTCACCTGTCTTAGGTGCTATCCACAGGAGGAACTTTTACAGCTTTTGCTTCAGAGGCTGCACTAGGCAGTTTGCACAGAGCCCAAAGGCTGCAGGTATACATAACACGTGGCCAGTCCGATTTCCCAAACGCTGTTTCATTTTCTCCTGTTGGTTGCTTGATGATTGGAAATTCTCAGTACCTCTTGAAGAAATAACTCCAGATTTAAATCTATTTGTATTTAATATATCCATTACATGGTGCCAATTTTCTGGTTAGTATAATTGGTTATGATCCTTTGTATGATGTTTCAAATCTGTTTACATACATATATGACAGTAGACAGACTAAATTTGAATATTAGGAGAATGCCACTAAGGTTCACTAATTCTAATAGTGAGTATATTCAAAGGAAGTGAAGTTAGTATGTCAAAGAGGTATCTGCACTCCCATGTTCATTGCAACATTATTCATGATAGCCAAGATAATGGAATCAAACTAAGTTTCCATCTACAGATGGATTTTTTAAAAAAAATGTGGTATATGTGCACAATGGGGTACTATTCACCCATAAAAAAGAATGAAATCTTGTTACTTTTGACGACATGAATTAACATGGAGGACATTATGTTACATCAAATAAGCTGGGCACGAGAAGACAAATACTGCATGATCTCACTTATATGTGGATTCTAAAAAAGTTGACCTTGAATTAGAGAATGGAATGGTGGACTTCAGTGATTGGATAGATGCTGATTACAGGAGACCTAATTGCAGTTAGAAAGCAGGAGTAAGTTCAAGAGATCTATAGTATAACATAGTGACTATAGTTAATAACAATGTGTTCTTGAAATTGAAAAAGAAAATGACAATAAAAGGGAACTTGGTAATTCATGATTGATCTGCTATACCAACCTTCCTTTTATCATTTGCCTGTTTGGTTGTTTTGCAAACTGACAAGATTTTCTTTTCTTTTAGTGGGTCGAATTGTCTTAGAATTGTTTGCAGATATTGTACCCAAAACTGCGGAAAATTTTCGTGCACTGTGTACAGGAGAAAAAGGCATTGGACCCACGACTGGAAAACCTCTCCATTTCAAAGGATGCCCTTTTCATCGAAGTATGTATAAATTTTCTGAATCTTATTATTTTTCATGTAGGCAAGTCCTATTCTTTAGGAGTCTGGGAAGAAAACACTGAGTAGGAAGTGAAGGTTAAAAAGTACTATTGGCTTCCACATCTGAGTAACTCAGTTTCATAAAGGTTAGGCTGTGCATGGTGGAATTACTTATGGTACTAGGTTTATCTTAGAGAATGGACTTCCCCAGCTTTACAGGTTCTCTCACTCTCCTTCGCTCTAAGATGATTTGATTGAGAAAGGAAGGCCACAGTAAACTGACCTTAAGTAGCTTCATTGCCTGGTGACAAAAATGTTGTGTTTAATTATTGGGCATGAGTGCTTGAGAAGGCAGCAGATTTGAAGATTCAGTGTTTTGGGCACACAGGTGATAATGTAATAAAAATATGCCATTTCATACTTCTTATCACACTTTGTAATCAGTCATACCTTTGTTTCGTGATAATGGTTCCCCCAATAGACTGCAGGCTCCATGAGTTCAAGAACTATATGTTTTCACCATCTAATACAGTTATTGAACAGGAACTCAGGAAATCTTTCTTTAATAAATAGGCAAATAAGCAATAATCACATGAACAACATTTTAAAAAATGGTTTATTAAGAAAAAAATTATGACTGGGTGCAGTGGCTCACTCCTGTAATCCCAGCACTTTGGGAGGCCAAGTTAGGTGGATCACCTGAGGTCAGGAGTTCAAGACCAGCCTGGTCAATGTGGTGAGACCCCATCTCTACTAAATATACAAAAATTAGCCAGGTATGGTGGCGGGCACCTATAATCTCAACTACTCTGGAGGCTGAGGCAGGAGAATCGCTTGAACCTAGGAGGAAGAGGTTACAGTGAGCTGAGATTGCGCCATTGCACTCCAGCCTGGGCAACAAGAGCGACACTTCATCTCAAAAAAAAAAAAAAAAATTAACATTAAAAAAAAAGTATTTAAACTATTTACTTTCATTTTAAATAAAAACCTGAAATATGCTAATAAAGTATATGCAGAAAATATTTAACATAGCAAGCGTGAGACTGCTATCCTTAGGTCTGCCTACAAGAGTAGCACTTGGCTGGAGTCAGGGAACTTGATACTTGAACCATTTCCTAGATAGTAAGGGAGATTTACTATGCCTAGTCTATTTGTACAAACATGAACATCTGCTTTCTTTTGGGGAGTCTGGAATTTTGGTACATGCTAGGTAGAGTGTGCCTGATAAATACCTTGGGTGCTGAGTCTCTAATTGGCTCTCCTGGG